GCAGGTTCCCCACTGAGCAAGGTGCCCAATGTGGGGCTTGATCCCAGAACCTTGGGATCATGACCTGAGCCGAAGGCAGGCGCTTAACTGAGCCACCCAGGTGTCCCAAAACAGACACTCTTAATATGTGCATTTAATCGTTTCCTGATCATACCTCAAGAACGCTGAACATTTTTTAATAATTTAATAATACTGTAAATTTTTAAACTTCCAAATGAAAAAGCATAAAATAAAATCTGTAGTATCTTAAGTTCACTCATATTTCTAGGTTCCAGATTCTAAGTATACAAAGGCAGAAAACGACAGGTCTCAACTATGAGAACAGAAGGCACATGAACATATTCGCTCTTATTTTAAGATTTGTTTACTTGGAGAGGGGGAGGGGACGACAGAGAGCATGTTTGCAAGCACAGGTTGGGGAGAGGGAGTGGGAGAGAGAAACTTCAGCAGACCCCACACTGAGCGTGGACCCCACAGGGGGCCCCATCTCACAACACTGAGATCAGGACCTAAGCCAAAACCAAGAGCTGGATGCTTAACCGACTGTGTCACCCAGATACCCCGACGTACACATTCTTACACGCACATATTAAACGGTCACTGAAATTACCCACTCTTGTGAATGTGGCCCTCTCGAGTCAACTGATTTAATCCTCACAACCCTATGGGTAAGTTTAATTATTACTGCCATTTTATAGATGAGACAATGGAGACAGAGTTAAGTAAGCTGACCAAAGTTACAAAACCAAAAAGTAATAGGTCAGAATTTAAATCCAGGCTCTATGACTTGACCTATTAGTCTGCTCGGGCTGCCATTACAAAATACCACAGACTGCAGGGTTTAAACAATAGAATTTAATTTTCTCACGGTTCTAGGAGCTGTAAGTTCTATAAGATCAAGGTGGGGACAGGTTTGGCTTCTCTCAAGGCCTCTGTAAACTTGGCTTGCAGATGGCCACCTTCTTGCTATGTCCTCACCTGGCTTTTTCTCTGTGTGAACACACCCCTGCCCACCTCTTCTTCTTTAAGGAACCTAGTCATATGGAATTAGGGCCCACCCCACTGGTCCTGGTTAATTTGATCATGTCTTTAGAGACTATCTCCACAGTTACCTCGGGAGCCACTGGTGATTGGGATTTCAACATACGAATTTTGACAGAACACAATTCAACCCATAACACCTGATCACCTCAATGTTACTAGATCCTCCTAAGATCTAGTTTTTGAACTGTAAAATAGTGCTACTGAGAATCCTCTTCGCATAAAATGCTTAGCAATGTCTGGCACATAGTATCATCACTTTATAGACAAGGAAAACAACTCAGAGAGATGGTGACTTGCCCGGTTTTCATCTCTCAGGTGGAATTCTAACACTATAGAACACTACTTTCTTGTACAAGCAAACGCATAATCTAGCAGAATTTTATATAATTTATAAATTTTCTGTATCTTACTTCCTTTCTCACAGTATTTTTCTTGCTTTGTCATAAACAAGGGAGTAAGAAGTTAAAACTAATAAAAATTTCATTAGGATAGTATAATACTTTCCTGGGACTATGTGTGACACTTTCATTCATCCTTTCTCCTGATTTGCGAAGGCAACTGGCTATAGTCACAGTGATGAAGCCTTGGAAGATCAAAGCCTACTTTTAACTATTAGGAAAGAAAAGCAACTCGTTTTTTTTTTAAACTAAGATTATACTTTATGCTTGCCTGGCGCTCTACATCTATTACAGCTGCTTAATCCTCAACACAATCTTATGACCTTGCTTTATTTAGCTCTCGTAAGAAGCATGTGAAGAAGGTATTATTCCCATTTTGTAGCTGAGAGAACAGGCACAGAGCAAGGTTCAGTGTGTTTAAGGTCAAACTTGACAATGACTGGACAAGCTTGACAACGACTGGCAGAACCAGAACTCTCACAGACATCTTCAAGTCTAAAGTCAAGGCTCTCCACTGTAGGCCACCCTCTCCTTTGGCAAGTGCAATACCTAGTTTCCTCACTTCTCGTGCTCTACATAAAGAGATCAGGTGCTTGGCAAATGAGACAGCCTGATTTGGGGCAATCTGGACTAAGCTGCAAAAAAATCTTTTACATCCTTTACACAGGCCAAGTTTCCTGACCACTCTGACCACCACCAATCCCTTGGACCAATAGCTCTTTTAAGGCAGCAACCAGTCCCCATCTTTCCCAGTGTCCAGCACACTGAGAGCTCATTAAAGTTCAACAGATATCTGAGACATGAGAGTTCGAGTAAATATTTGTTATATAATTGAATCTGAGCACAATCTTCCACTAGTGATGGCAACGGGTACTTTTCAGCACAATTCTACAAAAACATCAACAAAAAGAAATATTCAAAACCTCTCCCATCGTCTACAACAGAGAAGCCTATAGGTTTTTTCCAAAGATTTATTTTAGAGAGAGCGAGAGAGTGAGTGAGCACAAGTGGGAGGAGGGGTGGAGGGATAGATAGACTCCTCAAGCAGACACCCCACTGCATGTGGAGACTAAGAGTCACATGAACCCAGGATGCTGAGGTCATGACCTGAGCCAAAATCAAGAGTTGGGACACTTAACCGACTAAGCTACCCAGGGGCCCCTATAGGGTTTTTCCAATCCCTCAACTCTAAGATCCACTGCTGTCCACTCCTAACAGGAGTTCACTAGTCTGTGGCATGCTTTCAGGAAAACAATTCTGCATGTGGGGCACAGACATTCTTAATTCCCAGGGGGAACTATAATGGACGAGAAGGTTGATCTGAGAGTGGAATTGCTGTTCAGCAAGGCCCCTGTGTCATAGAAAGGAGCCGTATTAAGCGAAATCAGGCTAACTTTTAGTTTCTCAAGAATATACCACCGCTTGGATTTTTTTTTAAACATCAAGTTTGTTTTGCCACAAGCAGCCCAGGCAAGTCTTGACCGTACCATGGAAACTATCTGACCACTTCTGAGCTGCTGAGTACACAGGGAAGGGACGGGGGCAGAGGTGGCCAGAGCGGTCTTCTAAACTTTGCTCTAAGCCCTCTGACAACTTCAGAGACTTCTGGATGTCCGTTTGCCCATCTCTGTTGCTTTTGTGTACCCTGTTGTGAACCGGCTATCACCTTCCTGGCTACCAATTTCATAGAGCTTTTGAAATAGATTTAAACAAACAAAAAAACAAAAACAAAACAAAATTTGAGGTCCCAGAACTAAAGCATTCAATAAAGAATTGAAAGGATAAAGTATTGGGGTGCCTGGGTGGCTCAGTGGGTTAAAGCCTCTGCCTTCGACTTAGGTCATGATCTCCGGGTCCTGGGATCGAGCCCCGCATCGGGCTCTCTGCTCAGCAGGGAGCCTGCTTCCTCCTCTCTCTCTCTGCCTGCTTCTCTGCCTACTTGTGATCTCTGTCTGTCAAATAAATAAATAAAATCTTAAAAAAAAAAAAAAAAAGAAAGAATAAAGTATTATCAGTACTATACTTGCTGTCTGAATTCATCTTTTCAAAGCATTCTCTGATCTGAGGCAGAAAATTGACTAGAAAACTAGGCAATCTAGGTTACCTTTTCTTTATCAAGGAATCCTACAAATACTCTTTACTGATGCCTTATTCAGGACAGAAGACATTTCAGAGGGAAATGAAGAGGCGTACAAACGGAATAATTCTGCAAATAGCCGAATTAAAATATTTATCCACTTATCACTGTAATATTTACTAAATATATACGATGTACGCAAGGTACTGAACTAGATGCTGTAAGGATACAGAATTGTGTAAGAAATGTCTACTCATCTGCCCGTAGAGCAACTGGACCATAAGATGAAACTTTTGTTTAGAAAGGATTCAAGTTTCCCTAGGACATGGAAGCACACATTTCTTTTCTTCATCATTATGACTCCTGGCCTCACAGAAAAATTTTAGAGAACGCTGGGGGAGAAACTCTTATCTGTTACTTTCCCCTGACAAGTGGCAGCTTTCTCAAGAGTTACACGGCTACAGAATGGCTCTAACTTCCAAAATAACCTGATTAAATCTGACACACACATGACATGGGGGGAGAAAGAAACTCATGTGCCCTTCAGTTTCAATAAAAAAAAGTTGAACCGTATTGTCAAGGAAAGCAGGAAGATCAAGATCATGTGGTCTGGAAAGAAGACCGAGAACGATAGGGCGAAAATATTCCAAAAAACAGCTAGTCGCTTGGGATTCCTTGAATGCCCTGCCATATTCAATCACATATAGCTACGCAATGAAAGGAAAAGTTAAGGCCTATCTCACGCCTCACTTATGCTACTGACTGAGCTTAAGAAAGAAAATTAAGACAACCTTTTCAAGTTATTCAAAGGCAAATCTGCAGACTGGCCATTTAAGGGAAGGAGCTCATTAGATGGGGGGTAAACACTTGTTTAGCCATTAGTCAACATCTTTACCCAGTTAATTTAAAACAGGAAGCCCTAGATTTCCTTAAATTTACCACTATTAGTTTGCTAGAACTGAGTGTTCCAACATATAAATTCTTTGTGTGTGTTTACTTTCCCCTCTAGATTTATGGGCTCAACTGTTCTCAAAAATAGAACTTCTTAATATCTGCTGCTTTCACTTTTAATATTCTCTTTTCCCAAGCCACAGAACCGATGAGCGTCAACAAATGAAGTAAATGCGGAGAACCAGCTCTCCTATCCCGGGATGGGGGGGATAAAGAAGGGTTTGTACCCCCAGGCAAACAGAACACCCTCACAATAAGGTCAAGATGACGTGAAGGAATCGACATCCCCTCAAATGAAATTCTGTAGTAGTTACAGTTCTGATCTGGCCGGACCCCCTATCAGGACAGCCGATCATCAAGAACATTGCTGTATTTGGAATTCAGACGGCAAGAATGCACAGCCTCTTCGCAGAAACGGAAAAGGACACTCAGCCAGCTCTATGTCCTGTGGCGTAATTTCACGTGCAGCACACAAACAATTCTTGGTTATTATTATTTTTTTTTTGTAAATGAAAAGTAGATCAACTTACATGGCTCTCTGGCAATGAACTGAGGTACAGTGTTGGGCAGAGGAGTACTGGGGTTTGGAGTCCCTACTAGTTTGTTCTTGGCCATCTTCGTGTTTGCCTTAGCAAACTCTAGTCGTAGTGTTTGCGGAATTTCAGGATCGAAGCGGATGCCCTTTGGAAATAAAGAACAAATGGAAGATGTTTTCATTTCCTTAGAGTCAAACCGGAATGGTGACAAAATAAACACACCAGTAAATCCTGGCCTATCAGAAAAAAAGGTCAGCGAGAGCCCTGGTTCTCTCTACTTACACAGAATACATGAAAACCTGTAATACCACATGTCCAGAAAAGTCAAGGGAGATTTTGTTTACTTAATGAAAACATTTAGCTACATGTTTTTTCAATTATTTCTTTTCTTCCTGAACAAAAACATTCAGATTCAGGTTTTAAATATGGACTCGCAAATTCCTATCACAGTGAAAAACTTCAATTAATGGCCACTGATGAGAATAAAATAATTCCTGTAAAGCTCTGTGCATACTGGAAATCGTGGAGCTCTAGGTCCTTAGCAGTGTTCTGACACTGGCCTAAAACAAGGTCATTCTTCAACGCTTTAGTTTCATCACCCAGAAGTAAAAGGGAGAAAATTTCCCTCCCTAACTAGAGAGCTTTCTACATGGTGATACATGTACTGAGTTAGTAAAACAGGAACTAAGATTTAAATGTAACTAGTATCACTTAATCCTAGTTAGCTTGTAAGTTTATATAAAATTGTAATGTCTTGATGTGGTAAAGTCCCAGTTTTGATTAGAGCTGGCCTACTAGCTACGTGGCTGGAGAGAAATCAGATTATACTATACAGGCCAAAGACAGGGTAGTAATTTCAATTACCCTTGACCCTATTATTGCAGTTTACCTAAAACAAACATACTCAATACATAACAAACATTATAAAAACACAAGATTTAGGACAAGATTAGTCTATTTTGAAACCCTCCCACCATTCAAGAATGCTTCCATTGGGGCGCCTGCGTGGCTCAGTCAGTTAAGCATCCGCCTTTGGCTCAGGTCATGATCTCAGGATCCTGGGATCTAGCCCAGAGTCTGGCTCCGTGCTCAGCGGGGAGTCTCTGTCTCCCTCTCCCTCTGTCCCTCCGCCCCTCCCCCCTTGTGCTTGCCCTTTCAAATAAAATCTTTTAAAAAAAAAAAAAGGGAATGCCTCCATCACCAAGTATAATGAATAATATCATATCTATTTTCCAATGTTATGTAGTCCAACAACAGTAACAAATAGACATCCCAGTAGACTGCATAAATGTGCATCCGAAACAGGCTCAGGTCCCGTGTTCGTATGGTATGTTCTGGAAGGGGGTAGAGTTCTGAAAAGGTGTATCCTATGAATACGGCTTTTCCATTTAGTGCACATGTGAGCCTATGGGCCCCAAAGTCCCCTTTCTACTTAATTAGCCTCAAGAAAAGTCAAAGCAATTCCCACCAGAAATCAGTAAGAATCTCTATGTACACCAGGATGAACAACTCTGAACTTCACAGGCTCAGATCCAAAGCTGGGAAGAAGAGCCTGTGACTGGATGGTAGCAGCAAAATGAGAAATAAGCGGGGAGGAGGAAAGAGAGATGTTCCGGGAGGTACAACAAAAGCCACGGAGCCCTGACCAACAGACATCCTGGGGTGGGTGGAACGTCTCTGGGAGCCTGATTTATCCATTCTGAGAAGAAACCAACTGAAGGTGGCAAACAGGGGTGGGCAGGAAGAGAAGGAACCCACTTTGCACAGCCCTAACTGACAGCAAGAAGTGAAAAGGGGGGTGCCAGTTATAAGAAGTGTAAAAAGAACTTCTCTCCCCAACTGGTCTCAGCTTTTGTTTCAACTTAGGAAACCTCAGTATTATCTTGCCAAAGACGTCTATGAGGAAGAGAAACAAAGCATCATTCTGAAGCATTTCACTCTATCAAAGCTACTATCACCACAGAATAAATATTGCCAAATACGGACCCGAAGAGCGTCGTCTTCGCTGGGAGACTAATGCAGTCAGTGCCCGGCTATCATGTAAGGGGATGCTGTGGAAGGACTCAAGTACTCACAAGATACCCCATGAGCTCACATGGTAACGATCTACCATCAATTTCAGGGTGTCCTCCTTGGCGGTCAACTCCACCAACCTTCCTGTAAAGAAGGAACTTTCCTACACCTGAGCCCACGTCACCTTGGTCACTGTGGTCAAGGCCCCAATAGCCTGAGAAGAGCATCCTGGGACCAGCCAGTGGTCCTCTGGAGCTTCTAGCCTGGAAAACAAGGAGGCAATGAGGCGGCACAGCTGCATTCTGCGTCCCAGCTCTTCCCCTCATGTCCCAGAGTCAACAGAAGCTCTGCACAACATGCTTGCCTCTCACGCCACCTGGAATGGTGGCTTGTGTCCTAAGACATGCTGAATTGAGTCTCCCCCATTCCCTCTTCATATCCCTCCTCCCTGTGTGAGCTCAAGTAACAACGCCATCATGTTCCAAATCAGAGTTCCAGCTCCTTATTTTAAAAAAAAAAAAAAAGCAAGCTCAGAAGTTAAAATGACCTAATTTGTTTGGCAGCTTATTCAGAGGCCGGAGGCTTAGAATACAAGCCGCATTCCGCTAGCATCTTTAGCAGCAATACCATATTTGGTAATCAATATCCTGCTTGGCTCACTTCCTATCCAGAGGGATCAGCCAAGCCAAAAACATTCTAAATGTTAAAGGATGATGAAGAGGGAGAGAGGGGAGCAGGGCTAGGGAGAACATGGAAATGGAAGGAGAAAGAAAACATTAAAACAAAAAAAAATGAAAACACACAAAAACACACCAAAAAACCAACCCAACACCTTGTGCTTTTAATTAAAGCCCTAATAAGATTATTCTCTGGCCAGAGTGACTTCACATTAAACCCTGACAGCATAAGATTACTGCCACATCAAGGGGAACTCTGTGCCTTTCAAAATCAACTTCTTCCCTTTTTGCCTATAACTCACCAAAACTCCTCTTCTAATGAAGAGAAACCCTTCTCTTACACCTGTAAATGGTAACTTATTTACACAGTTTCTGGCTAACAGCGTGATGTCAATCTGAGAATACAGTTACTTAGAAGCAACCTCATCTGACTTAACAGGCTACAGGGACAGCCAACAGTCTCTCTTCAAGGGGGCCTGAAACACACTAACCAAACCAATACAGGTTCCCACTGACCTACCAAGACTGAAACTCCTCCAAGAGCAGGCTCTGGGAGGTATGAAGATGATGGGCACAAAACAACGTACCTTCACAGTCTAGGATTCCTAAGAGTCTATCAGGGAAGTTTCAAATCATATGCTTTGGTGTCAGGGACGGAATGTTTATGCCCTCCCCAAATTCCTATATTGAAGCCCTAACCCCCAATGTGATGGTATCTGGAGGTGGGGTCTAAGGAGGTAATTAGGGTTAGATGAGGTCATGAGGGTGGGCCCTAAAAGGGGATTAGTAAACGCTCATATGAGGAGGAAGAGACAGGATGGCTCTCCGACAGCACACACCACCGAGAGGCCACCCGAGCGGTCCGTGAGGACTGCAAGAGAGCCAGAGGGTTTGCACTAGATCCGGACTCCGACGGTAACATGATCCTGGACTTTCTAGCCTCCAGAACCGAGAGAATTAACTGTCTGCTGTTTGAACCATCCCAGTCTATCGTGTTTCGTTATGGCAGGCCCAGCTAGTCTTGCTAACATTCTAACACGGTCTTCTTTCCTGGGCAAGTGTCTAAAATGCTGCACAGTACTTTTTCTGAACCTTCTGTGGTCTCCGACGCGTAATGTCCCCTTTTCCACGAGCCCCGCCTCCAACCCCACCCACTCCCCCACATCACAGGGACTCGACCCACAGGAGCAGTCTTACTCCACTGGTGCATGGCCTGGGATTATAATCACTGGAAGCCCTACTAATTCAGTCTCAAAAGCTACTAAGAACAATTAGCAACTCCTAAGGAAAATTCGGGCTCTGCATTTACTACTATGCTTTAAACTCAGTTACTGCATTCAGGACTCTGCTGAAGAAATTAAAAAACAACAACAACAACACACACACACACCCCAACAACAACAACACTCTTTTCCCCTTTCTCTTAAAGTACACAAAGCTTAAGTAGTATTTGTAAATAAAGGTTAAAAGAGATTTTTCTGAACTGTGGGCTTAAACCTCCAAGTGCAAATTTGTGTCCTACTGATACTGAATTAACTTTCTAAGTAAGTTAGCTTAAAAATGCCATCTTACAGCTCAAAAACTCTATCAAAACCTTGAGTCCTAAAGGGATAAGGAAAGAGCTAGTAAAAGAATAAAACACAAGAAAACGGGCAAGGTAGAATGACCAAATCCTGAGGACTGAAGCCCACAGAGATCCAGAGTCACCGGTAAATGAATTCTAGCTCCTCCGGAGACTTTCTAAGAAAAGACGGAGAAGCTATTACGCCAATATGCACGAAGCCCAGATCCCAGGGAGCTCTCCAGTTTCTTCGGTACTTGTGACACTGGCTTCTGGTGCATTCTGGCTGATGCTGGAATGACTTAGTAGCTGAAAGCAAGGATTTGGGACCCTATGAGAAAATCATTCTGAACACAAAGGTACAACATCATTCCAACTCCTTAGTAATATCACTAGTCTTGAGTTAATGTTATCCCACGTGAGTAGGAATAAAGATTGCTAGGAGTTTATTCACTGAATAATGGGGGGGGAGGGCTATTCTACAATGATTAAAATATCCTTACGGGCTTACCTTCATATGCCATGTGCGGTCCTTGAGAAAACAAACAAGATATAAAAGACCTTTTGTGGAAAAATGGAGAAAACCAAATACAGAATACAAGCAGAGGGGATATTTGGGAACTGTCAATTTTATTAGGTGTGAGATTATGGTAATTTAGGAAAGTGTCTTTAGCTTTTAGTACTAAAATACAAAGACTGCAATGACAAAATGCCACAATATGACAGCATGTATTTACGTTAAAATACTTAGAAAAAAAAAATGAAGCAAATGTGGCAAAATGTTAAGTTGGTAAATTCTGGTGATGGGTTAATTATTATATCCTCTACTTCCTAGTGTGCCTCAAGTTGCAGGACAGAAAGTTAAAAAAAAGGGGGAGAGGGCGCCTGGGTGGC